TACCTCTCCACCTTCTTCTCCACCTTCACCCCCACCCAACCCCAACAATCATCCCATAGTCACCCACTCCTCAAAAGCTGGCATATCCGGTCCAAGACAAATCATAAACCTTAAAACCACGGCCATAATCTCTCCACTCCCGCCCACATATTGTAGTGCACTTAAAGATCTAAACTAGAATACTGCTGCTATGTGTGAATAATACATGCTTTAATTAATAATAAAATATGGGAATAATACCACCTCACCCTAGCCAAAATGTTATTTCTAGAAAATGATTATTTTTCCATAAACTTGGTCCTACATGTGAATTGTGAAGGTACGAAGCCCATTGGATGGTTCGTGGATTCAATCAATGCTATGGAGTGGAATTTGATGAGATGTTTAGCTAGGTGGTTAAACTGGCAACTATCTGGATTGTACTCAGTATTCCCCTGAGCCATGGCTGGCTCATTCATTAATTAGATGTCAAGAATGCTTTCTTACATGGCACACTTCAGAATACAGTCTATACGAGTCAACCCTCCGGTTTTCAGGATCCTACTCACCCGCATTATGTTTGCAAACTAAACAAAGCCCTTTACAGATTAAAGCAGGCACATCGCTTCTGGTATTTTCAGCTTGCTACTTCATTCAATCCTTGGGGTTTCGGGGGTGCAAGTCTGACACCTCTCTCTTCATCTATCATCATGGAACAAATATGGAATATTTACTACTGTATGTGGATGGTATTGTCCTTGCGACATCCCACACCATACTTCTTAACATGCTCATTCAGAAACTTAAAGGAGAGTTTGCTATGACAAACATGGGGGACCTCCTTTTTTTCTTGGGATAAATGTTCTACGCAACGCTCAAGGTCTCTTTCTTCATCAGTCTCAATTCATACATGAGATCCTTGATCGTGCTGGCATGACAAACTGCAATCCAATCTCCACGTTAGTCGACACCAAAAGAAAGTTGGGCGCCGCTTCTGGCAAGCCAGTGTCCAACCCTACTCTTTACTGATCTATTGTTGGAGCCCTGCAATACCTCACCTTCACACGTTTGGATATTACTTATGCCATACAACAACTTTGTCTTCACCTTCACGACCCGAACTGGTCATCTCGCGGTCCTCACCAAATCTAGGACAGATCAGCTTCAAGCATTCTCAGATGCAGATTGATCAGGATGCCTGGACACTCAAAAATCCACCTTCGGTTAATGGGTTTTCTTGGGGGATAATCTGGTGTCGGGATCCTCCAAATGACAGGATACCACCTCTTGTTCTAGTGCTGAATCTGAGTGTCATGTTGTGACAAATGCAATTGCAGAATCTAGCTGTATATGCAATCTCCTCCTTGAGCTTCACCAGCCTCTTAGTAGAGCCACTCTTGTCTTCTCTGACAATATTAGTGTCGTGTAGCTCTCGACAAATCCAGTTCAACCTCAGTGCACTAAACATGTTGAAGTGGGCTCGTACGAGAAAAAGTGGCCCTTGGACATGTCCAAGTATTACATGTCTCCTTGTCCTCCCACTTTGCAGACATCTTCACAAAAGGACTTCTGTCTCTCTTATCCCCTGTCTTCATAAACGGTCTTGGTATTCGTTCATCACCTCCGAGACCGCACGAAGCATGTTAAATTTTGTTTCCTTGTGTATGTTTCCTTTATTATATTCCTTCATTTTGTATAACCCTACCATGTATAGAAATAGTTAAGGATAGTATATATATATACACCCCTTGTATTCACAATTCAAGTAATAAATGTTGGGACTGCGCGTGCCCTCACCCCAACCCCGCATTAGTATGATATTGTCCGCTCTGGGCCAAGCCCTCACGGATTTGTTTTTGGGCACCTCCCAAAAGGCCTCATACTAATGAGGTTGGGTGAACCTATATATTTTTGGTTCATTTACTCCTACTCATCCGGTGTGGGACTTGGAGGAATCCCAACAAACCTCCCCTCATCCAAGGACCACACAACTTCCGACCTCCCCTCCAGCGGTAATCCCTTTCTTTCTCTTTATCTGCTAACCATCTTGCACCGCCGCACACTCTTTGCGGGACACGCCGCCCGACCTCCTGTCGGGAAGACTTTCGACGCAAGGCTCGAACCGCAGATCTTTCCTTCGCTGGGCTACACCATTTGATCCGCCAAATCATCTTGTACCGCCGTGGCTATAACTTCACGGGACGCGCCGCCCGACCTCCTCTCGTCGGGAAGACTTTCGACACAAGGCACCACCTGCAGATCCTCTTTCTTGGTCTTGGTCCTAGTTACACCGTCACACCGAGATTTTTCCACACTGCACAGTCCGCTACTCCCGCCCGCAAGAACCT